GTTATGCGAGCGGGTAGATTCCTGCCTGGAGGCAAGTGCGAGGCTCTCTCGTGCGGCAAACGTCTACTGTAGAAGAACGCCAGGGAATTCGGGTAAACTGAAAGTGCAAGCGGGGCAAGCTCCTGCGCATTTTGGTACGGGTTCAGGCTCAATTGGGCATGTAGAGGTGCGCAGTGATTCTCCGCGCACGTGCCCCCTTAGTGTTTCGTTTATGTCGTGCGCCTCAATTCGCAGTTGTGTGGTCTGCGGCGAGGCTTGGTGCGGCGGCCAGTAAAATCCTCCGCATCGATGCTCGGATTTGCCGAGCAAGGCGCGCGGAGGCACTTCGGTTCGCGCTGGCTTGCGGTCTGCGCGCGCGGCTTGGTGCAGCGGCCGATAAAGCGTGCGTGCCGAATTGGCTGGGTTTTTTTTGTTAGAGCGGCGTGTTACCCGAACACGATTCGCAGAATGCTTTCGACTCGCACGGCCCGGTGCGGCGGCCGATTAGGCCTGAGCACCGAGACCTGGTCTCATTTAACTAGCTGGATTCGTCAATGGACTTCGCCTCGCAGGCTTGCGCACCCTCTTGCGCTCCTCGAGGAAAGAGGGCGAACGGATATCGAACTCGCTCCGATCGGCTCTCCCGTCCGATCATTTGCTGACGACAGCAGCGAGAGGGGGGCAGCGTTCGCTCGGCCCTTTATCCCATCTCTCCTGTCGCTCCTCTTTTCCTTAAAACAAGGGCATCAACGAAGTGGCGTACTCGAGAGCAAACAGCGGCAGCAGCCAGGAGCAGCGCGAGAGAAAGCAGCACCGGCCGAAAAGAGCGAGCAACCCGGTCAGGGCCCAAGAACGGCGAGTCCCCAATGAATGGGGCACCAAGGTGAGCTCCAAAATCATTCAGGATCCCGTAGGGCGCCGACGCCGACGCCGCTCCTCCTCCTCCCCTTCCTCCTCCTCCCTCCTCCTCCTCCTCCTCCTCCTCCTCCTCCTCCTCCTCCTCCTCCTCCTCCTCCCCCTCCTCCCTTTCCTCCTCCCTCCTCTTCCTCCACCTCCTCCTCCTCCTCCTCTTCCTCCTCGTCCTCCTCCTGGCACTCACCGCAACACGATGCTGTGGATGATCTGTGCTCGACTTGCTCCGTGGGCAGCTTCGCAATGTGAGGCTCCTTCGCCCCCGAAGCGGCGGCCGAGCGGTGCGGCATGTGGCGCCCAGGGCAGGCCGTCGTGCTGTCGTCGCGGCGGATGAGAGTTCGGTGCCCGTCTCGCCCCCGTACAGCAGGATCCCTTCGCAGTCTCTTTCGGGCGTGCGTTCCAGGGCTTTATGGCGGTCGTCCCGTGGTTCGATTCTGAGATTGTCTTGTGCTGGTACTGTGCGGGGTTGTTGGTCGGCTGCCCCATCGGTTACGTAGGCATGTAAAAATATAGGAAGAAGAATATGTATATAATGGCCTTCGGCCCATCCCGCCACCGTGCCTGGGTTGTGGGTATGAAGCCTACTGGATTTTGTTGGGATCTCGTGGGAGGCCTCTCGGTGGCCTCTTGGAGGAAGTTGTGATGCCTCTTCGGAGCAATTTTGGGGCCTCTTTGAGCCCCTTGGGGGCCTCTTCGGAGCCTTTTTGGGGCATCTTGGGGACCTCTTGGGGGCCTCTTGGGGCCTCATGAGCGCCTCTGGGGGCCTCCAGGGGGCCTCTTGGGGCAGAAGGCTCGGATTTTCGGTTCGTGTTCCCTCTCTTGTGCCCCTTTGGGGGCCGTCTTTTTGGGGCCCTCTTGGAAGCCTCTTGGACCGTCTTGGGGCGATATTGGGGGCCTCCTGGGCCGTCTCGAAGCGTCGGGGAGCCGAAAAGGCGAGAACGCCAAAAACACCTTCCAAGCACCTAAGGACAATCAATGGTGCTTGCCTCTTGGGGCCCTCTTGGTAGGCCTCTTGGAGGCCTCTTGGGCCGTCTTGGAGGCCTCTTGGGCCGTCTGGGGGGCCGTCTTGGGCGTCTTGGAGCGATCGTTCGGCGACTCGGGGCCCTTTTGGACCGTCGTCGGCGCCTCTTGGGGCCCCCTTGGGGCTCGAACCAGCCACGCGGGGAGAAGCGGGGGAGCCCAGGGGCGACGCGCCAAGCCCCACGAGAGTTGGGAGTGTGGGGTCTGGGACTGTCCCGTGTTGGTGTTGTGCGGCTGTTTGGCGGCTGCCCCATTGGTCATTTGCGCATGTGTCAGCACACATATGTTCGTACCTACTCCCATCGAATTATGTATACGCGCGCCGACACCTTGATGTTTGTATGTGTGCTGAACTCGCTTGAAGCAACATTCGGCGTCCCTGCGCATCGACGTACGCACTTGTACTTGAGGCTTTGGGGTGAGACCGACGCGGATTGCAGTCGCCCGCCAGAGAAATTTCAATCGTTGTCGATTCGTGTGGTACGTGACGCGCGAGGCGAAGCAGCGCGAGTTCTTGCACTAGCTAGGCCCAGGTCAGGCCAAAGTGAGTCCCGATGGTTGCCCCGTGATCGTCTCGTGGTTGTCCCATGGTTGTCCCGCGTGCGTGCGGCAATTGACTTGTCTATGCATGTACAGTATACAGTGAGGCCGTTAGCGAAATAGTGATATCGATCTCTAGTTTCATAGGAAATTCGATAAATGGATGATGCAACTGGTCTGAGCAAATTGGGATTTGACGGGGATGCGCACGTCGGGGCACGCCGACTGCGAGGTGAGGCTGAGGAGGCAGGGAGGGACGGAGAAGAGGGGACGTGGAGAAGGACACGGATAATGATGATGAGGATGAGGAGGAAAAAGATGAGGTGGAGGATGCGGATCATGCCGAGGAGGAAGACGAGGAAGAGGATGACGAGGAGGAGGAGGAGGAGCATGATGACGACGAGGAGAAGGAGGAGAGAGAGAGTAGGACGGCCTGGTGCGATGATGGTGGCGACGATGATGTTGCTGATTATGATGAGTAGGATGTTGATGCTGAGGTGGGTGATAATGACGATGATGGCGACGACGAGGACGATGTCGATGCTGACGATGATGACAATGACGATGGTGATGACGATGGCGACGATCATGATGATGATGATGGTGATGATGATGATGAGGATGATGATGATGATGATGATGTTGATGATGATGATGATGATGACGATAGTGATGATGGTAATGATGGTGATGCTAATGCTGATTATGATGGCGATGGCGATGATGGTGGTGATACTGATACTCATGCTAATGATGCTGTTGATGATGAGAAGGATGCTGCTGATGCGGCTGCTGCTGCTGCCGATGATGATGCTAATGATGATGCTGCTGATGAAGATGATGACGATGTTGACGACGATGATGATGACGATGACGATGAGGACAGTAAGGACGATGACGATGATGACGATGACAATGACGATGACGATGACGATGATGATGACGATGATGATGACGATGATGATGATGATGATGATGATGATGATGATGATGATGATTCGGATGCTGATTATGAGTATGACGATGATGCTGCTGATGATGATGATGATGATGATGCGGAGGAGGATGACGATGATGACGCTGAGGCTGAGGCTGAGGCTGATGGTGATGATGACGATGACGATGACGATTACGATGACGATGTCGATGAGGATGAAGATGAGAAAGAGGACGATGCTGCTGCTGCTGATGATGATGCTTGATGCTGATGCTGATGAGGATGATGACGATGATGCTGGTGATGACGATGATGCTGCTGCTGCTGCTGATGATGATGATGATGATGGCGATTGCAATGATGCTGATGATGATGACGACGATGACGATGACGATGACGATGACGAGGATGATGATGATGATGATGATGATGATGATGATGATGATGATGATGATGATGATGATGATGATGATGATGATGATGACGAGGAAGAGGAGGAGGAAGATGAGGATGAGGATGAGGATGAGGATGACAATGAGGATGATGATGATGATGAGGAGGAGGAGGAGGAAGAGGAGGAGGAGGAAAAGGACGGTAGCAGGAAGGGGAGGAGGGGAGGGTGAGTCGGATGAGATAGAGGAGGAGGAGGAGGAGGAGGAGGAGGAGGAGGAGGGCGGGGCGGAATAGAGGAGGAGGAGAATCAGGAGGAGGAGGAGAGGAGAACGAAGAGGAGGAGGAGGACGAAAAGGACGGTACTAGCAGGAAGGGGAGGAGGGAGAGGAGGAGTCGGTTGAGGTAGGAGGAGGAGGAGGAGGAGGGAGGAGGAGGGAGGAAGAGGAGGAGGAGGAGGAGGAGGAGGAGGAGATGGAAGGGGAGGAGGAGTCGGTTGAAGTAGAGGAGGAGGAGGAGGAGGAGGAGGAGGAGGAGGAGGAGGAGGAGGAGGAAGAGGAGGAGGAGGAGGAGGAGGAGGAGGAGGGGCGGGATAGAGGAGGGGAATCAGGAGGTGGAGGAGGTCCAGTCCCCGCATGCCGCGTGCCTTCCCGCGAGCTCCTTCTGGGGCTTTGGGGCCAGTTCCGGGGCTGACGGTCGGGTCTCGATGAGGTCGAGCACACCCGATCCGATCGCCAACCGGATCGAAGTCCTCTTGCTGCAGCTGTTGGTGCTCGTCCTTCGCGCTCGCAGCGGTAGCGCCATTTGATTCACAGTGTCGGATGGTGCGTGAGAGATGCGGGGGGGTGCTTTTCATCGCGTCGTCTATTTGGCCGAGTTGCGGGAAATGTGAGGGCAGGGGGCATAGCACAGCAAATTCCCGCTCCTGCGAAGTTCCCGGAGGGCTGCGTGTGGCAACCCACCGCCAAGGTGGGAGCAATGTGCTTGTTTCCGGTAGGAAGCGGTTGTGAAGCCATTGCGCAGGCATCGTCGTCCAGAACGTTGATCAGGATTCATGTCCTACGCTGAAGATTTCATATAGTCTGTTGTGAAGAGCTTAGCTCCTCCGAGGCACGCAAAGGCAAGCAGGTCTTTTAGGCGCCCTCCCTCATCGCGACCTTCTGCCATTATTCATGTCTCCCTCGCAGTCCTGCTTTTGAGTGCTCTGCAAACACGCTGCCAGCGCTCGTGCGGGAGCCAACCCAGAGTGCCAGGCCGATAGGGATGCGGCGCATGGGGGGACAAGGAGGCGATGAAGCGGACAAGCAGCAAGATGAGGCGGAAGAGGAGCAGCATCAGCAGTCGCAGTTCATCCCCGCTGCACGAAGTTGTTTCCCTGAGCGCGAGTGTGCGTTGATGGCGCAGGCACAACGCATCGAGACGCACGGCTCCTTCCCTCTGGTGTCGGCCAACGGTCTGCAGTTACAGTCAACGCGCCTAGTAAGGACGCGCGCCTTCATCTAGGATACCCTGGCGTCCTTGCCTCTGTGGCCCGTCCTTTGCCGTTTTCACTGGTCGCCGCCGCCCCAAAAAATCCCAACTTCAGCCTCCAAGGGTCTTGCGTCCTTACCACGCGTCCTTACTATACGTTTTGACTGTAGCATTCGTCAGCACCGCCTGCGCTTGGCCCGCCCACGTGCGGGCGCGTGGGTCGAGGGCGTTGGGTCACCATCGGACTTTCTCTTGCACTGGGAAGCAGGAGGAAAAGGAGCAAGGGGAGGAGGAGGAGGAGGAGGAGGAGGAGGAGGAGGAGGAGGAGGATTTGTTTTGGCTCCACGCCCTCCTCTGAGTCCTTTAAAGGAGCTGACACCTGCTGCAACGAGGCGGTGCAGCAGGCCTGTGAATAAAATTAGGCAAACGTGTTGAAGCACTGCATAATATTGCCGACATCAACCGTAACACCCGCTTTCTGCTGCCTATAATGCGGGTGTTTGCCTTTGCACAGGGCTTCCCAGCCGTACCTCGCTGCTCGCGACGGAGGCGGCTGGCACTTGGCGGCTAACCCGCGGACAGAGGCTCCACTGGAATGAGCCTTGCACCTAGTGCAAATAAACAAAACCGAGCCATCAGAGCAGTCGAACGCAATCGTACGGTGCTCGAGGGCGTCCTGACTGGACGCGTGAAGCCGAGAAACCTGAGAACAGACACCTGGCAAGGGCCTGCTCTGCGAACGCTTGCCTCTGAGGCAAACAGCACAGCGCCACACTCCAGACCACATTTCCCAGCGATGCCCTGCGGTCGCAGCGGCAGCGGCATGCGGGGCAGGAATTCGTCCTACATCGGAGAGGTCCAAGGCAGGCCACACATGCAAAACATGGGCCGCCAGCCTGATAGTCTGGCGTGCCTGCGTGACAAGCTTATCAGCAGCCGCTAGCTTGTCAGGACACGAAGGATGAAGATGCACTGCGTGCTTGGCTGCCGCGTCCGCATGATGGTTGCCGAGGCGCCTCCAGCGCTCAGCAGCGTCGATACCCGCCTCATCCAGCTCCTTGTGAGCTGCGACTTTTGTGCACGTGGAAGGCGAGATACCTTGGGCATAGAGTTGGAGGAAAGCCCCAGCGTAAGCCCTCTTCCCACACAGCTGCTCGGCCTTGGGCCTACAGGCTAGATTGACCACATTGCTGCAATCAGAGAACACATCTAAGCAGGCCGACGCGAGCACATTGGCCCAAGTCCAGCAGCTGAACTCGGCCGACTGAGGCGTCAGAGGATATGGGGCCCAAGCTGGGGCCCGAAACTCTGCGACGGCCGACCCTTGATCGTCGACCATCACCACACTGCAGCCAGCCCTGGATAGCTCCCGAACAGAGTGACGGCTGCTAGACCCGTCGATGAAAACGCTACCCCAAACTTCAATGCCAGGCTTAGCCCCAGAGGGCGACGAGATATCTTGGTGGTGCCACACAAGAAACGGGCCATTGTCCGTCTCAGTGAGGGGCCTGGGGTACCCATCGGCGGGGTGGCGGAAAGCCCCAGACATAAAAACGAACACAGCTTCCTCGTCGTCCTTAGCTGCTAAGGCTTCGGCTACAGTACTAGCTTCAACTAGAGAGGATCTAAGCTCAGCCACTGGCTCGTGGGGGCACTCCCACAACCTGTGGAAGATCGTGTCCGAGGCGCCGCAGAACGGGCAACTGCCGTCCACGAGGTAGCCTAAGCTCACAGCACGATCACCAGTGAAAAAGGCTTCGGTGGCGAACGCTCTAATGTGGGCCTTCTGGAGGGCCGTGTATTTCTTGGAGGCCAGGGCCTCGCGCAGCACATCATACCATATCCTGGGGAGCACTCCCCTCTTTTCGGCGGAGAGACGTTCCAACATCCTAAAATAACCGTCCTTGAGCAAACTCCGGAATAAGGCAGGCGAGATAATGCCGAGGGGAAAAGAGAAGCCACGGTCATCTCGCACCGTCATGAAGTTGTCCATGCACCAGCCCAGCCTAACCAGGGACATCCGAAGGGCCGACACAGGGCCCGCGACCGCTCTCCAGGAGCAGGCAGGGTTGGAGAACACAGCTTCCCACGCACGACGCAACGAGGGAAAACCCAAACCCCAAGCGTAGGCCCCAGTCTGGGCCAGCCAGATCTCCTTGGACCAACGGAGGATGGGGACGGTGGCAGTGCGCCAGCACGGATCATAATCGAGCAAAGCCGCCGTCGTCAGGGATCTCAACTGAGATCGAGGTCGGACCACCGAGAAAACTTGACGACGGAGGCGAAGCAACTCGAGGTCGCTGGTGCCAGTAATTTCCGCGCCATAAGAAGCCCCCGCGAGGGGCCCCGAGGAGAACGCCCTAAGAACCTGCGGCCGAGAGATGACTTTAATCTGACGCTTTAATCTCTTGGCCGCCCTCACCGCCTTGGCGATGCGCATTTTGGACTTCACCGAGCGCCCCGCCACCCTGAGCGCGCGGCCAGCCGTGCAGTCAACGCCTAAGTTGGCAGCACTCGACGTAAAAATACTTCCTAAATGCGAAATCTCAACAGAAACCTCATCCCCAAGGGCCTTCGAGGAAGCGACAACAGCGGTCTTATCCAGGGCGAGGGAGCAACCGAAACAAGACTCAACAATGCCGTGGAGCGCCTTGGCCCCTTCGACGATCGATTTGACCACGGTCCGATGTTGGCCCGTACACGAGAGACCCTGGTCGTCGATATACACATCGAGGTCGAGCCTGGGGATGGAAGGAAGAGAATCGTATCCGTCCTGGCAAAAGACCCGAATGAACGTGGTGGCCATCGAGCACCCAGCGATAACCCCATTCAGGCAGAAGTAGGGGCCTTCCAGCCACCCTCCAAGACAGAGAAAGCGCCCACACCTGTAGGCATAAATGCAAAGACGGGCAATCGCAAGAGGGAATCCATGTTTCTTGCAACGGGCCTCGAGCTCTTTCAGACTGATGTTCTCATAGAACTTACGCAGATCGAAAAGAACAGAACATGAGGACTCCCCGATGGCAAGACCCGTCTCGGCGGTGACAGCTTGACGCCAAACCACATCGGCAGCTCCTCGACACCTACCAGCAGCCCAGTACCGTTTGGGGTGTTCTTGCTTCCAGTTCAAGGCAAAGGGCCGCCGACAGCGGCCCCAAACCCTGAACCAGGAGCAGAACACCCCAATCGGCCTGTATCCACCAGTAGGCTTCGGCAGAAGCGCCAGAGCGACGACAGAGATCTGCGGAGGAAGGCAGCCTAGCGCTTCCATGACAAAAAATGGCACTGAGGCAATCGAGAGCAGCATCAGGCAACAAAGAGAAATGCTTGCAGTGAAATCCGTCCACAGCCACGGCCGAAGAATCTTTGTAGGACTTAGAGATAGCACGGATTTCGCTGGCCGTGGGTCGGGGAAGAGGCTCAACGACCTGACCGTCAAACTCGGCCCCTCGACCCTCCCCCCATATGCTGCTGAACCTCTCTCCCTCCGCCTTGAGCAGGGAGAGAGGATCACTGACGACGCACCCAGCAGCAGAGAGAGTCGAAGAGGGGACCCACGGAACAGGATCTTTAATGCACTGATGAACCCTTTTAGCCCCTTGATTGATGCCAACATGCAGCCAAGCAGCCCAGTCTGATCGACTCCTGGCGGCGTGCTTGGAGCTGGCGGCCTTGACGGCCTCGTGAACCGGAGTGTACAGATCAGCGAGCGGCTCCACATCCCCACCAGAGCCAAGGGCGGAGACCTCCTGAGCCGCACGCTTGAACAGCGGCTCGTAGTCTTCCACCGCGGCCGTGATGCTGGGCGGGGGCTCCACCAACACGCAACTAAGCCTGGCAGCAGTGGCAGCAGCGCCTCCGCGCCGAGCGTGCATGAAGGCGCGAAGCTGTTGCCCGAGCCAACGGATCGCGCGATGACCAGGGTAACGCACCTTACCATCCTGGCCCAAGATAGGTTTTCACACAAGTTGAGGACCCAGGCCCCTGGAGCCATGCTTGGGGGGGGGGCAACACCCACCAGAGGAATGAGGTCACGTTCAGCGTGGTCGGCCCACTTCCTGTAAAGAGGGCCCAGAAGACGTTTGGCCCCCTGACCGTCCCCATTCTGAAGACAACGTTCAGCCTCGGACGCCAGCGCAAGTTCCCCAGCCCAGCAACTTTCTCTGGGGGCAGGGCCAAACACCATCTGACACGGCAGGGGGGGAGGCTTCCTGAACGAGAGAGCGTGAAGCACCGCCAGCTGGGGGTGGAACACCAACTGGACGGGCCTGTGGGGGGAGAGCTCCGTATCCAATCTCGTGTCGACCGACTTGAGACCCTTCGCCAGACCGCCCGAACAAACGAAGTAGTCGAACGTCGTGGGAGGGCCCGCAGGACAGTGCGTCGCGACAATGGGGAAGATGAGGGAAGCCCTCAACTCAGACACAAAACTGGAAGACTCGAGCTCAGCAGGCTCCAGATTAAAGTCGGCGCCGAGCACCCACGGCTGGCCAACTGCCGAAAGTTGCTCCCCGAGCCTCGCGAGCAGAGACAGATTATCATCGCTGAGGCCTTCTGAGTGGTGAAGGTATGCAGAGGCAACCAGGATGGGGGGAGTCCCAGGGAGGTGCGCAGAGCACGCGATGCATCGCCCAGGCGTCGTGATGGCACCCTCGACTTCCAGAAGCCCCATCCAAGAGCGCACGAAAATGGCAACACCTCCACTCGTGTCCTGCGCTTGGGTGGGGATAGCAGGGGCCCAAACCGACTTCCATCCATGCCTTATGCACCAAGCACTGGCCTGCTCGATGTCCTCCTTGGAAATCAGACGGTGCTCCTGACCGAGCACAATGTGGGCAGAACAAGCTCCGAGCAAACCCTTCAACGTGCCCCACGAGTTGGCGTTAATGGTCTGAATCGTGAGTGGCACCATACTGTCAGAGTTAGAGGCCGATGGCTGCTCGCTGCCGACGAGAGGAGCAGGCACAGGCAGGCTGACATTGCTGACCGAATGCGCTGTCGAATTGAAACAGTCAGAGGGGTGCTGAGACCTCTGAGAATCCAAGGGTTCGAATTTGCCCTTGGAGCGCCCTGACTTAAAATCTCCGAGAGCGACGAGCTCAACGCGGGGACGAGATCCCCCTCCATGGGGGGCAAACAGAAGTGGCCACATGCAGGACAGCCCCGTCCGTGGCATCCTTGCGCGCAGACTTACCAAGGGAGTGAACAGGATACAAAACCCTTGGCCTCGCGAAGTCCAGCAAAGACACAGGGGCAGAGACAGTAGTCCGATCAGCCTTGCGTCGAAACATACCCCTCTTGCGGATGAGGGCATCTTGCGCTACTGAGCGAAACTCCGTGTGCAGAGGTAAAAAACCTGCTTCACCCCCCCCCTGGAGGCAGCCTTCCGAACGAAGGACCTGCGGACCCCAATCGAACGACGACTCGAGGAGGCGACGAGCATCAGGGCTAGCCTCCAGGGGGTAGCTAATCGTTGACTGTGTGAGTGGCCGCGGCAATGCGGTCAGCGCGCTCACGAGCCGTGCCTGTCGTAGAAGGCGTGGACGGAGCCGCTGCCGCAGCGCCCGCTGCGCCTGACGCTGCTGCGCCACCACCGCCTGGAACTGCTCCAGCGTCCTCATCTCCTTCAGCGTGTGCACCTGCATCAGGAGGTTCCTCGAAGGCCGCTTCCTGCTCCAC